ATTTTAGGCAACTAAAAAAAGACAAACTAAAATATTCATTTCTGTCTTATCACATATTAGTGAATCCCAATGGGGTCTTGATGTTTATCCTTCCCTCTTCAGGTTTTCTTAATTATATCTGTCTTGTATTAATTTGAACAAAGCTCCCTAGACATCGCCTTTATGATTTAGAATCTCAACTGCTCTTCCCATTAATGGTCTTGATTAATGTGCTTAAAAATTCCTCAAGACATTTGTGACACTTTGTATGAGGGGAACGACAAGGGTTTTGAATACGTTCAATTTAATTTGTGATACCCTTTGTGATTGTGATCTTGGAGTCCATTTTGTGTTCCTTATCAAGAGCTCAGATGATTTTTAATTTTTTTTATTACTTTTGAGGCATTGATGTGGAAGTAACATGACTGACACACAAGTGTCTTCTTTTTGTTAGCCAAACCCTGGAATTTCAGAAACCGCTTTGGAAAAACACTGTAATTTCAGGTCCCTTGGTTAGGAATGATCAGGACACACAATTGAATGGGGATAGACATAAGGAAGGTTTTTAAGTGGCAGGAGGCAACTTAATCAAAATGAAACATTGGAGAGGGACCCTGTTTGCATACCACCCCATACCAGGCATTTAACTGTGTGGTTTACAGGGCATCTGTTGCATAGCCCATTAGTCAGGGCAGATACTCCATTGCCCACCCAAAGGATTCTGCTTCCTCTGCTGAAACTTCCCACCTTCCCCCCTGCAAAGGGAACAGAAGAGGGGACCAAGGAGCATCCTCAATCTGCAAGGACTTCGGATCTCCGTTTTTCGCATAGACCTGGAGTCCACCAGCAAAATCCCATGCCTCTTATTCTCTAGTTGCTGGCCTGCTAACCATACTGGGAACAAATTGCAATGAACAGTCAGCCAGCTGGTAACAGAAAATTCCTAAATCCTAAACCTATTTAATTTCCTTTCGGTGCTGCAACACAATATGCGGTGTGACACAAAGAAGTGCTGATGCAAGGGTGATATGTATTTAGCAGTCTCAGTTGAATAATGTGAGTCACAACTACTGAAGATCAACACCCAAGCTCACCAATGGTGGAAAGAGCCAACTGTCCCAGGGCCCAATGATACAAAAAGGCCTGGGGCTCCCGTCTGCTGCCCCAGGCTCTTTAAATTGCTGACAGAGTGCCACATGGCACATTCTAGGAAGCACTCACGGGTGTCTGGGGGAGACCTCACTTCTGTCTGAGGTCCCAGCCTCTCCTAAGGCTTGGAACAGGGCCCCACCCACCTTGCCTAGGGGCCGAGCAAAGCTATCACCCCATTGATGAGGCAAAGTTGATGTAGGCTGATTTCCCTCGTAGCTGTCATATCTTTCCTTTATTTTAAAAACCAAATGCAAATCATTATTTATCTTGCAGCAGGGACCAAGTTTCAACTTGACGTACATGTAGTAAAGCAACGGGCCCAGCCTCAAAGAGTTTCCAGTCTAGGTGAAGGAGATTACAGGATAGAGTGTATAATCTAGGAGCTCAAACCTGCATCTGGATCTGTGTCAGTGGAAGCCTGAACCAATAGGTCTCTGTGAGGTGGCATGAATCTATCCATATGACACCAGTGGAAGGATCGGGCTTAGATTCTTAGTTGTTTCCAAATAGCACTTGTCCTGCAAGTATTTTAGTGTAACAGACATTAGAATTGTACATCAGCTATCTTGGTGAAGCTCTACTTAGAAGTTTAAAATTAAAGTTTACATTGAATTTCTGAATATATATTATGGATTACAAGAAGCTCTTTGGACCTGAACCTTACAAGACTGAGATGAAAAGAGAAGGATTCTGTTTTATGGGCCAGAGACTCTTTCTTTCTTCTTATTAACATACTCCGCCTTTTCTGGATTTGATGCACGCAAAGTTTGATTCATGGAGAATTTAATTTGTCCACTATAAAAGACTAATGTAGTTCATATAACATTGCTGAATTATTTTTGTAATTTAAGTAGTAGCCATTGAGGAATGTAGAATCGTTTCTCGGGGGTCCATTTATCACTGTTTGCTACTAATTAGAAAGCTCAAAATACAGTATGCATTACTCACTTTATTAGCAATGTCTTTGTGTTGATATATCATTCCCTCTGCGTGTTCATGAACTTTCATCCATTTTGTAATTAATCTTGGGATTTGTTTTTAAGGTTTCCGATAGCTGCGACTCCATCTTTGTTAATGGCAAGGAAATGAAAAGCAAAGTGGACACCATTGTGAACTTTACTTACCAGCATTTTACCACTCAGCTAGAAGTGACAGTCTGGGCTCCACGCCTTCCTCTGCAGATAGAGATCTCGGATACAGAACTTAGCCAGATCAAGGGCTGGAGGATACCTGTCACCTCCAATAAGAGGTATGATTACTATGTTTGCCAGAGCTGCATGCAATACCCATCAGTTTCATTTGGAAGCTCTTTTTTTTTCCAGAGGATAGAACAGCCCATTTACAAACAGAGATTATAATCTGCCTTGGCCTTAACTTGTCACAACTGTGAAAACTGGAGGACAAATGCTCTCCTCAATTATATCTTGTGAAAATCCAGGGAAGTCAAAGCCAGCTGCACGGACGTCGATCTGAGGAAAGAATGTGATCTAGCACCTTCAGCACGCAGCGCTAAGAACTTAAGGACTCAGGGCATACATATACTGCATCACAGGGTACAACAGCAACTTCTGTAGACCTACTGGAGCTAGGTGGAATCTGTCTTGCTTGGCAATGGGAGGAGCAAAGATGTGCAGCACAGGTTTCAGCGTAGGCTTTCACAAGCTTGCTAGAACTCTGAGTAATGACTTGGGCCCACGCTGAAGGCTGCACAGATGCAGTTTCACTGTTCCCATACTGGAGCTGGATAGATTGAAGCTACCTTAAGTATGTCTGTAAAATTGAGTAGTACTTGCCTATCTGATAGTGGTGTTATCAGAATTTTAAACCAGAATAATGACAGCATTTTAATTGTGGAGTTTGATTTAAGGGTTTGCATCAGGTGTATATATGGGTCATTAAGTGCACAGAAACTCAGTGCTTGGTAACTCTCCTCCACCTATGCAAATATATCCATAGTTACAGCCTAATTCTACCATCCTTGGGCTTGTCTTCACTTACCCGGAGAGTGAATTGATCTCCCAGGGTTTGATTTAACAGGTCTCATAAGGACTAAATGAACTACTGCTGATGCCTTCATCAACCCCTGTACTTCACTGGATTGTGAGGAGTAAGGGAAGGCATTGGAAGAGTTTCTCTGTCAATCTCCTGCGGTGGGGATGTCACAATAAGTGGAGCTAAGATATGTCGATTCCAACTATGCTATTCACGTAGCTGGAGTTGCATATCTTAGTTTGACTTTCTCCCATAGTGTAGACCTGGCCTTGTTCACACTGAGCAGCCCCTCACTCTGAGCTGTTCTGTTTAAACCATTTTGCCTGAAAAATGTGGAATTGGATCTTCGAATGCTAATATTTGCACACACCATTCATTGCAGGTGCAAAACTGTAGGCACAAGTACTTGTGAGTACAATATTATTACCCACTGAAATAGATCATATTAAAGACTTGCTGTAAATCAGGCTTTTTGAGTTTAAGTCCTTACCCCTTCTCCCTTGTGCTTGACAATAATGTAGCTCAATAAGCTTCGATACATCTATTCCACAAAATTCTGAAGTGAATACGTTGTTTTCCCAAAGAAAGCAAGTCCAGTTTCTTTGACCTTTCTGAATATAGATGAGTTTCTCATTTCTGTGGATTATCCCATTGGACCTCTGCTGCACTTCCTCCATTACAGTTATGCAGCACAAGGCTCCACCAGAAAAATCACTTTCCATCTTCTTATTTTTCCTCTGTCTGCTATTTTTAAATTTAGAGCAAGCAGCAGAAATGCACTTTGGATAGTATTGTTTCAGTCATTTTGTGTCTTTAGTCTAAATTATTTGCTAGATTTGATTTTACAATTAAGACCAGCCAACGCAGAATATAAAAATGCATTCAGAAAAGCAGCTTTCAGTGACTTACAGTTTTCCCCCTGGTTTGATACTTCCACTGACTTATTGCTAACAATGTCATTATGCCCTGCAACATCAGGCTTTAAGGAACATGCAGGGCCTCAGTTATGCAGCATGGTGACAAAAGATTAAATACGAAAAAGAAGGAGACAAAAATTTCCCCAAATCATCAGCCATATTAAGAAGAGCATGCTGGAACTCTCTGAGCAAACATACAAGCATGTCAGTGAAAAAAAAGATAAGGTGAGTGAGCATTAAAGCAACAGATCCTTCAGAAACAACAAGGAGCCCTGTGGCACTTGGCATACGTTATGTGAACTTCAGCTCACTTCCTCAGAGGCATGAAGTGAATGTTCAGTTGTCAGGGATTTGTAAAGGATGGGAGTTTTCAGTGCTAATGAGGCTAATTCAGGCAGGGTGGATGTGGCCCACTTCTACTAACTTGGCCTCTTCTTGGAAACACATCTTTCAAAGGAGGATGGAGCTTTGCTAACAATGCAAGCAAGTTCTACAGAGGAGATCAAAGGAATCCTATCTAGCAGATCTGATTTAGGCAAGAAAGCACTGTGGTTTCACAGACGATTGTATTTTTATAAGAAGAAGCTATTGGTACAAGAGTGGAGGCAAAGGCTTCTTGAGTTCTTTTCTCCTGTCCCTCCTATCCCCAAAGGACCCGTAATGGTACAGCCAACATTTTGACAAGCAGCTCGATGAAGCGTTTCCAGGAATACTATTGTATTGATGAATTTCAGGGTAGCTTGAAAAATACTATCGGTGAGCAAGGCATGACATCAAATTGAATTTGTAATGCAAATGCAAAAGGGTTTCTGGCAGGAGTGACATATCACTGAAAATTCAAGTAGTTCCAGCTCTGAGCTTGCTGCCTGCCAGTTGTACTTAGTGACTAGGACACATCTTAGCTGTTGAAGAGCCCAACCAGAAAGCAATGAGTAGAATTATTTAGCACTTTACAAGGGCCTATAACTAACAGATATGGGATAAATTAACCTGTTACTCTGGCAGTGAGCTCACTGGGCAGATAATCAAACATCTTTTGTCTGTCTAGAAGCTGCTCTTGATCAATAAAGTGGCTGTGGCAAAAAGACAAGTAATGAAGAATTGGCACAATAAAAACTTTTCTAACTTTCACTGGTGAAGACAAAGCAGTTCTTTGACTGAATTGGTGCCAGCTGCTTCTGTAGTTCCAGAATCACTTACTATCTTTCATTTGCTTTAGCCACACAAAGATATACACCTTCTGCTGCTTTAAGGCCTCATGCTGCAGTTCTTACTTAGACGCAAATTCAACAGAAGTCAATGGTGTTTTTGCTTGAGTAAATGACTGCTGGAGGGGTTGTTGATATTTAATATAGGAATTGGCGTTTGAACACCATGCATGGTGAGTGAGCCATTCAATGGTGGTTAACATCATAGACATTTTGACTTTAAACCCATTATGCACAGCAGTGGACATTTCCCACCTAGTGTCTACTTCTGATGGATTGGGCCAACTGAAATAAAGATAATGGTCTGGGAGCCTGAACTGTTTGCAAGCTGGCAAGCAATTTTAGTTCACTGCTGCTCAAATTACATCTGAACCATTGGTACATCTTTAGCAACCATTTTTTTTTCTGTGAAGGGTGGAAGAAAAAATGTAGCTGCTCTGTTACTATGAAAATGTAGCTGGTTGTTTCTCACAGTGTGTCAGCTGTCCAAGCATGTTGGTCTGGAAAAGTTTCCAGGTTTCAAGTAGAAATAAATTACCCCAGGTTTATGAAACACTAAATTTTTTTATTTAGTTTTTTCTTTTATTTCAAATCAATAGGTAATCACGCACTAACATTAGCTATGTTAGCCTTGACATTTGTGCTGTATAGGAGTTTCAGAGTTTCCTTTCCTTTTTTGTGCATTTACTCAATCTTTCAGTTTTCCTATGTTTAGATTTTATTTCCATCTCTGTCTAGGTGTTTATGTTACGTCAGCACCATGGTGTCTGAGTACCTTCCACATATTTATGGGTTTATACTCAACAACCCCGCAAACTTAAGGAAGTATTATCCCCATTTGACAAACAGAAGAATAGAAGCATGGAGAAGTTAAAAGATTTGCCCAAGGTTGAGCAGAAAGGGAGTGGCAGAGTCAGGAGTTTAGGGTCTTAGCTTATATCAGGCCAGGTTTACACTTACCGGGAGATCAGCATTGTTGAAATCGATCCCACAGAGGTCTAATAAAGACCTACTAAATTGATTGTCGATTGCTCTCTCATCAACTCAGGTACTCCACAGGAATGAGAAGCATAAGGGAAGTTGATGGGAGAGTTTCTCATGTCTATCTTCCCCCCCCCCTTCCATCCCACTGTAAAACCCTTTGGCAACTTCACCTAAGGTATGTCAATTCCAGCTACACTATATATATAGCTGGATTTGTGTACCTTAAGTTGACATTGTCCCATAGTGCAGACCTGCCCCAAGTCACTGTAAAACTGACCTGAAACAGTGTGCTTTTTACATTAAAGGAGATGCTGAGTACTCCAGTGGTGATGTTGGGTAGTTGGGATGCCCTATCCACCCCATTGCTGCAGACCCTTGCTCCTAAAGGAATATTCAGTGGTGGTGTCCCTTGGGAGACCTCCAGGAATAAAATTATTTCAGTAAAAATCTGGATCTAACCCCAAAACATTTATAAATAATATACATCTAACCGATTAAACCACAACTAACACACCTTTATTTAACAACTGAAAGTAACAGGGTTTAACAGACTAAAAGTAAATATAATCAATTAACAAAGTACACAGAAATAAAGGAAACTTTTCTAACTGGTATTTATACTGCCACCATTTATCCCACTGTCAGCCGACGGTCAGGGCAGTGTGTGTGTGTGTGTGTGTTTGTGTGTTACAGAGAAAAGGTTTAACTTCTGTGACTTTACTGCTAGGACGGGGTCCCGTCGCGGAGGGCAGCCACCAGGCTGACAGACGCCCCAGAGTTTATAGGAAGAGCTTATTACATCTCAGATTTCAGCTGCTAGGATACAGGATCCCTTCGCAGCAGGCAGTCTAGGGAAGACTGAGAGATGCCCCAACGGATCTGTCCGCTGGGAGGGACACGATCCAAAATGCCCAAGATCTTCCTATAACTGTCCCTTATGACCGGCTGCAGTTCTTTTAAATTGTGCTTGGTTCTGTTACAGCAACTGAAGGAGTCAGGTTAAAACTTAAACAGTTACAGGTTTATTAAAAAGACTAATAAAGCATATGGTTACAATGGCTATTTCTCTATTTCTTAACTGTTAGCAAATACAGATCTTATGGTTGCAAAGAAAATAAAGATAGAAAATAGAAATAATGGTACCAAGT